GAGAGAGAGAGAGAGAGAGAGTGAGAGAGAAAAGAAGAAGAAGAAGAAAAAAGAAGAAGGAGGAGGAAGAGGAGGAGGAGGAGGAGGAAGAGAGAAAAGGAAACTGAAGAAAGAGAAGAAGGAGAAAAAGGGGAGGGAGAGAATGCATGTGAGGAACTGTGGTGCCTGACCACATGTGGAAGTTAGAAGACAAAGTAAACCCACACTCTGACACCCTGGCCTGGTTGGTTGGAGGGAGTCCTCCTTGCTACCCAGCCCCCTTTCTCAGCCTTTTCTGTCCTACATCGTGGCTCTGGGCTGGAGTCCTGCCCCTGGGATAGCAGGCCAGAGCCGGGCCCTGGACATCCGCCCGCACAGCACGATGCTGTTAGGAAGAAGCCCAGAGTGGAGTTTCTGACACCCTCGCTTGACTTTGCCCTCTGGAAAGTGTCTGGGGTGGCCCTGTGTGGGTCCTGGGGTGAAGGAGGGACACAGACTCACCATAGGGTAGAGGTGCGAGTTGGGAAGTGGGGGCGGGTGCTCCATAGCCATGGGGGGCGGGGGGTAGCGGATCTGGGACCATTCCTCATAGCCGTGATGTGGCACGGGCGGACCATAGTACCCGAAGTATGGGTGGGGCTCCACGTGGTAGCGCTCTGCCGAGGCCTGCAAGAAAGGCTGATGTCTGGCTCTGGCCTGTGACAGGCTGCAGGGCCATCCCCAGGGACACCATCTCATCTCTCATCCTCTAGAACAGTGGTTCTCAACCTTCTGGCCCTTTAAATACAGTTCCTCATGTTGTGACCCAACCATAAAATTATTTTCGTTGCTACTTCATAACTGTCATGTTGCTACTGTTATAAATCGTCATGTAAATATCTGATATGCAGGATGGTCTTAGGCGACCCCTGTGAAAGGGTCGTTCCACCGCCAAAGGGGTCTCGACCCACAGGTTGAGAACTGCTGCTCTAGAATGTTAGTTCTCTGAAGGAAATGGGCACAGAAGGCTGGCACATGGCATGGAAGAGCAACAATGACGACAGCTAATGTGACCTGAGTACTTACTCCGTCCCAAGTCCTGTTCTAAGCGCTCTACTGCATTGCTCATTAGTTAGCTGGGCACCTGAGCAAACACTGCCTCTCCCATCAGACTGTAGCTCTGAGGAAGGTCAGTGAAGTCGAGGCTGCTTCCTCCTTGAGCCCCCTCACCTTTGCTTTCCTCTTCTGCTGTTTGAGGGCTTCTTTCGCCTTCTCTTCGTCTTTGAATGCTTTTAGCTGAGGGAAGAAAGGAGGGAGAGAAGACTGTTGGCCCAGGTGCTTCCGAGCCAAGCCTGGATCCAGCCTTCAGCAGCCCCAGGGTTGATGGGCTGATGCACCAGCGTGGACACCAGCGTGTCCTGCCTGGCCCAGCCCTGGGGAAGGACCCTGTGGAGCAGAGCACAGCCCAGGCCGGGGGCTACCAGTAAGGCCTGCTCACTGTGGGAGGTCTGAACACCGGTCGGGAGGCGTCCGGTGCGCTCACTGCTTCTGCGCTTCCCCATTAACATTTTCCAGGTGCATTCTGCGAGACAATGGGGGGCTCAGGGCCAATCCCCGAATTTGCTCTTTAAAGGCACCAAAACTGACTGTGGAAAAGCAGAGCTAGAGGTTAGGGGCGGGGTGGGCATGTCCCCCTGAAATCCACAGAAACTTATAGCAGAGCTGGAAGGAAAAGCAGTGAGTGCCCTGACATCCAGGCTCACATCCAGGGACCCTGCAATCCATGCCCCCGTCCCGAGGGCAGGCCAATGGCCCCTTCCTCGGGCCAGCTCTTCTCACCTGGGCGTTTGACAGGGTGACCTGGGCCTGCAGTTTCTCTACCTGCTTCTTCAGCTCTTCCTTCTCCTCATTCATGCGCTCCCGATCACTGCGCTCTCTCTGGAAGTCCTCCTCAAAGATCTTCACCTGCAGGGGTGAGGAGGGGAGAGAGGGAAGGGGTGAAGGGAGAGGGACAGCTCTGAGTGGAGGCTCAGACCTGCTGAGGCCCAGAATCCTGGGTTGGCTGCTGAGAGTCACAGACATCGGAGCTGGTGTCACCCCATCTCAACAGCCCCCATGGAGTGGGGAATGTGTACTCCTCCAGCCCCACCCCCATCTTCAAACAAAGTAGTTCTGGATCCCCCTAATTTACTTTATTTATTTATTTACTATGTCTTAGATACATTATTTTTTTAAATATGTTTTTATTGACTTTTAGAGAGAGAGGAAGGAAGAAGGATAGAGAACTAGAAACAGCAATGAATGAGAAACATCATCTATCTGCTGCCTCTTGATGCCCCTAGGGGAGATAGAGCTATGGGACCAGAGTGTGGATGGAAGACCTTCTGAGAGTAAAGGCTTACAAAGCTCTCCCACGGCTCCCGGGAGCCTGGCAGGGAAGAGGCTGGGACCTGCATGGCATCACATGGAAACACATGGGACAGCGTGACCTTTTCAACCTCCTTTCAAACCTCCCGTCCCTTGAGGAGAAAGTCTGTTTTATGCTAGTATGTCTTTAAGGCCTTTCTGGTATGTGTTAGTTTCCCTTAAGGCAGTGGTTCTCAATCTGTGGGTCGCGACCCCTTTGGAGGTCGAACGACCCTTTCACAGGGGCTGCCTAAGACCATCCTGCATATCAGATATTTACATTACGATTCATAACAGTAGCAACATTACAGTGATGAAGTAGCAATGAAAATAATTTTATGGTTGGGTCACAACACAAGGAACTGTATTTAAAGGGCCAGAAGGTTGAGAACCACTGCCTTAAGGGAAGGGAATGAGGACTCAAGTTCAGAGTCTTCATCAGAAAGAGTATCCGGCTCAAGTTTAATAACACTGTTTTGCTTGCTTACAGCTAGTTTTTTTTTTTTTGTAATATATTTTTTTATTGATTTTTTACAGAGAGGAAAGGAGAGAGATAGAGAGTCAGAAACATCGATGAGAGAGAAACATCGATCAGCTGCCTCCTGCACATCTCCTACTGGGGATGTGCCCGCAACGGGAAGGGAATGAGGACTCAAGTTCAGAGTCTTCATCAGAAAGAGTATCCGGCTCAAGTTTAATAACACTGTTTTGCTTGCGGCAGCTAGTTTTTTATTTATGGAAAATAACAAACAGGTTTTTCTATTTATGATAGTGATATAAAGCTCCTTTTTAATTACATTTATTGAAAGTAATTTATGTAAAACTTATTCTTAAAATACTAGGTAGATAATGGCATAGTTGGGGTAAGGATGGCTAAATCGTAGAGCAATGACTAGTTAGGGACACAATGCTGGAAAGGATGAACCTATAACCAGGCCGGGGTCCTGGCCAAAGGCAGGAAGTGGACTACCAATAACTGCTTCCACGTGATGCCAAGCTCATCCTGGGTGCTCAGGATGCTCCAGCTCCCACTACCACCTCCTTCCTACCTGGCCTCCCCCCAGGGCTCACCTGCTGTTTCAGCAATTCGTTCTGCGTGACCAGCTCCTGTTTTCTGAGGAGGCCCCCAGCTCCTTCTGGGTTCCCAAAGGCTGTTGGTGGAGACGATGGGGAGGCCTGGATGCTCAGTGCTTCCTCTAGGGCCTGAGACCAGGAAGAGAGAAGATGGGTCCATCAGCAGAAGCCCTGAAAGTCAGGTTCCACTGACAGGGTCATCCTTAGGGACCCCCTTCCTGACAATAATGATAACAATAACCACCACTACCAGTACTATTTAATAAATGCTACCCTAGTCATTAATACTATGCACACATCATTTCACTGAATCCTCTCCACAGTCCCAGGAAGAAAAGGCTATCATCCCCATTTTACAGATGTGAAAACTGAGGTTCCGAGACCTGAAGTGATTTGTCCAAAGCCACACAGCAAGTGGCAACGTGGGGATTCAAATCCAGTGTGTGCTATTAACCAGCAGCCTAAACTTCATGAAGAAGGGAGAATTTCCCTTTCCCGGAGCAGGTGTGGCTCAAGCCCAGCACCCAGACCTAGAAGGAATATTAAGTCCCTCCGGAGAATCTTCAGTCTGGCCTGGCCTGAGATCCGTCAGCTTTTACAACCCATTCCCACTAAACCAACCCTTCCATCCTCCTCTCTCCTGGAGTTAGATTAGACTGGATTTTAATTTCAACTTGCTCACCTCTTAAAAGGTTTCTATTAACTGGTTTTCTCCTTCAGACCCGTTAACTTGTTAGGCGAGAACTTTGGAACACCTCTCACGACTGGCCACCCTCATCCCCACCTCAGCTTCAGCCCCTTGGACAGCAGGGCCCTGCCCTGCACGTGGCAGCATTGCCCAAGGTGCCTTCCTGGATGGCACGGAGGTCAAGGAAACCTCCCCCAACTTGGATGGGGTCCGCCACTTGGTCTGCTTGACTCCCCCAGAAACAAAGCAGAGTCAAGAGTCGACTCGGGATGCTGCGAGGGGAGGCTAGGGCTCCCTTTCATCCTCCCTGCACTGGAAGGTGGGCAGGGCCAGAATGAGTCCAGGGAGGATTCAGATGGCAACGTGGAGGCCCAGAGAGGGTACAGACCTGGCCGTTCACTGCCACTCGCCTGACTCAGAGGAGAGGGTTTCTGCTTTCCCCAGCCCACCCCGGGCGCCCTGTCTCCTGGGTCCTACTTCACAAGGGTGGGAACCCCCGGGGCCTGTGCTCACTCACTCCCATCAGCGAGTATTCCCTGAGCATGTGCTTTGTGCCAGGCACTGGGGGTATGTGTCCCTGTGAAGACGCGCACCTCCCACCACTGCATGAGAAGACAGATGTTAAATAAGTAATCACAAGAAAATGCGAGAAGGAGCGGGAAAGAAGTTGCGCAGAACAGGGTGACCTCGTTTTTGTGGGAGGCCTCGCTGCACCTGAACCATGAGCAGGGTGGCACTGAGTGAGGAAATGGCACGTAAAGGGCAGGAGGGGAGCGAGCACAGGCTCGTCCCAGGGCTGGCCACTGTACGCGGGGAGGAGAAGGCAGAGGTGGGAACCTCGGGTGACACCAGGCCCGCAGCACCCATGCCTTGACCCAGACCTGCCCCTCCTGAGCTGAGGGTTGGGCGCTGGTGGGAGTTGGGCTTAGGGAAGCTCTGGTGCCCGAGGGACCAGGACCAAGGCGCCTACCTTGTTGAGCCGCTGGATCTCCTTCTCCTGGTAATCCCGCTGCCGGGTCAGAGGGCTCAGCTGATCCTGCAGATACCTGACCTTCTGGCGCAGCTCCTTGGCCTCTGCTGACAGCTGCTCCTTGTCGGTCTGCAGGGAGCACAGGGTGGGTAAGCTGGAGCCGGTGCAGGAGACTGGGACTCCCTGCACGGCCGCCCACCTCTCCGGCACGCCTCCTCTCTTGCTCTCACTCCGCAGCCCTCACTGTGCTCACACAAGGCACCTGGGGTCAGAGCAGTAATGCCCAAAGGGCCTGACCTCAAAGAAGAGGCACTTTGGTTGAGTGAAAGGCGCTGGGTTCTGACACCAGCTCCTCCACCAGCTGAGACCTGGGGCACTGTCACAGCCCGCTCTGTTCTAAGCTTACCTATCCGCCATAGGCAAGGAGTTTCTTTTGTTTTTGTTTTTCTGTTAATCCTCACCTGAGGATATTTTTTTCCCTTTGATTTTTAGAGACAGTGGAAGGGAGGGAGAGGGAGAGAGAGAGAGAGAAACATTGATGTGAGAGATTGGCTGCCTCCTGCATGTGCCCCGACTGGGGGCGAGGATCAAACCTGCAACCTAGGTGCTCACCCTTGACCAGAAATCGAACCTGAGACCCTACGGTGCACAGGCTGACGCTCTAACCACTGAGACACACTGGCCAGGGCAAGGAGTTCTTAACGTGAGTCACACATGGACCTCAGGAAGTCTGTGAGCCCCAAAACAGTGTAAAATTTTGCCTGTACAATTTTCTAGGGAGAAAAGCCATAGTTTCTGTCAGATTTGCACAGGGATCTTCTGTGACACAGAAAGTGAGAAACCACGAAGAATCTCTAAAAGATCTTTCTGCTTTTTAGTCTCTGAACCTAGAGGAGAGAAAACACTCAAAGAAATAAAAGTAGCATAAGGCAGAAAGTGTTCCTACACAGAGAAACAGTCCGTCCTGTAAGGTTAAAGAGAGAGGGCAATAGCCAAGAAGAAATCAGGGAAGGCTTCAAGGTGGAAGCACTGCTCCAACACCCACTATGGAACAATCAGGGCCCCGTCACTGCAGGGCCACAGCTGGATTGGCCCTTAGAGAGCATCAAGTCCTAGCCCCTTTGTGTGATGGGAAATGACTGTGCAGAGAGGGGAGATGATTTCTCCCAGGCTACACAGTGAGCTGGGGTTAGAGCCCAGGTGTCTTAATTCCAGTGCTCTCTCTCACCTTGCAAGTCACAGGAAGTGTTTAAAATAGGGACAGGCAGCCAGAGGTTGCCGAGGGCAGCCTTGGTCAGAACGGGTGGGAGCCGGTCTGGACTCCTGTTGAAGAGGCTCCAGGATTAGCACGGCCTCTATCGCCATGTGCCCTTATCTACAGGGCTGTGCTGTGTCTCGAAACATCCCACCTCCCCCCAGCTGAGAGGGAGGTGCTGTCAGATCCAGGGACGTGTCTACCTACTGATGTGAGCCAGGAGAAGGGACCAAAGAGCTAGGGGTCACAGGCCGACAGTCACAAGATGTGACTGCACTGAAGAGAAAAGATAGGCAGTGTCCTGCCTAATCCTCATCTTCAAGGGAGGGGTGGTCACGGAGGCAGGCGACAGCCCAGACAAGGCCCCTGAGTGTCCTATGCTGATGAGAGGGAACTCTGAAATGCAAACTGTGTTGAAAATGTCCATTTTGAAGCTAAACAATAATAGCCTGGGCCGTTCCCATGAAAGGGAAGGCAACACGATATAAATAAAATCTCCCAGAAATCTGCGGGTCAGGCGGCCTTTCCTCTTTCAGCCGTAACAGGAACCCGAGGGCCTTGGCTGGGATCAGTCACATGGAGGACAGATCAGATGCTGCTTCTTCAGGGGGCAGATTCCTGGCCCCATGACTGAATCTGATGCCTCTTCCTGCCCCTCCCAGTCCCTGTCACTTCTCCTGTGTAGTATTTAACACGCTTCAGCTTATTTGCTTCTGTAATCAGTTGTTTAGCGTCTCTTCCCCCTCAAAGCGGGTACTGGACGGTTCAGCACTGAGTCTCTCCGCCCAGCAGTGTATGATCTGTTAAATAATGACTAGAGCAGTGATGGCGAACCTTTTGAGCTCGGCGTGTCAGCATTTTGAAAAACCCTAACTTAACTCTGGTGCCGTGTCACATATAGAAATTTTTTGATATTTGCAACCATAGTAAGACAAAGATTTATAGTTTTGATATTTATTTTATATATTTAAATGCCATTTAACAAAGAAAAATCAACCAAAACAATGAGTTCGTGTGTCACCTCTGACATGCGTGTCATAGGTTTGCCATCACTGGACTAGATGAATGAATAAGGAAACTCTGTCCCCAACCAAGAGCCATCACAACTCAAACACTCAACAGCACCCACCCCATCAAGTGCCCCAGAGCCGGCCTGCTTCTCTCTCTTTTCTATTCTGTGCTTCCCTAGCCCACAGATTTTAATTGAACAAAAAGTTCTGTTAGAAAATAAGAAAATATGAAAAGCAATGGCTAATCCAATCTTCTCAATGTGTAGATGGGAAACTGGGGCAAGGGGAAGGAAAGTGCTTTTGCCTGTGGCCACACAGCCCTTTGCACCAGAGCCGGAGCTGGAATCCTGGCTTGTTTACTCCACTGGGGAGGGAGGAGCAGGCCTCCCCGAGCCAAACCCCCAGGGCCCAGCAGCCACACTTGCCTCCTCCATTTCAATCTTGGACTTGGCCAGGAGAAGCTTGCGGTCAAAGTCACGCTGCTTCTGCTCCCGCTCAGCTTCCAGGTCAGTCACCTGCTTCTGCAGGTCCGCCAGCTTCTGGCGCAGCTCAGTGATCTGGGTTCAGAGGCAGAGGGAGGGGGTGCGTGAGCGTGACTGTCCAAGGGACAACGCTGCTGAGCAGGACGGCGGCGGGGGGGGATGCGCTGACAACAGCTGAGAACCTGGGCTCAGCCTTGACTTCCCGTAACTCCCACACTACCTTCTGCTCGTACTGCTGCTTCATGGACCGGAAATGCTGGTCCCACTGTTTGTTCACTTCAAGCAGCTGTGGGGAGAGAGCGGGGTTAGCAGGGGATAAGCAGAGGACCACAGACAGCCAACTCCACGCACACCAGCTTCCCCAGCAGCGCACAGTGTGTGCGAACGCTGGCTACAGACACTGCCTCAGTCTCTTGCTTCTCAATAAAACTCAGTGCTCCTCAAAGAGAGTCCCTCTATCAACCGCCACATTTTATCCTTCCAGGGCAGCGAGACTAACACCAAGACACAAAAACAGTATATCAGTTCGGTGTAGAATTATGAAACACACCCCCATTTAGAGGGCAGTTTGGGACTATGTATAACCCCGTAATTCTACTCTAAAAATAGTAACCAAAAGAAGCATAAAAATATATGTATATTGTGATCATTTCAACGTTTGTATTACAAAACAATCTAGAGGCCAACCTAGGCACAGGAGATGGGTGACAGAAATTACAGGGTAATCAGAAGCAGAATGCCATGCAGTTGTTCAGAAAACCTAATATGCTGCCTCAGTTCTAAGGTGACACTACTTATTTGTCATACTCTCGATATAACAATTCCTCCAGGACCGAAAACAATCCTACATCACAAATAAAATGATGGGAAAGGGTATCCCAATTTCAGAAACATAAAATAAAAAGTACTCAGAATTAAAGAAATATATATATTAAATATATACATATATATTAAAGGTATATACATATGTACATATATATGTGCATCCTTAGTTATAGTTTATTTTAAAGAAAAAAAGAAATTTGTAATGCAATACGTACAATTTTTTCTGCTATTTTAAAAACCAGATTATACATTAGTGAGTACATAGACGAAAACAAGGAATACGTAATGAATTGTTACTAACCGTTAATTGTTACTCTAGGAGGTGAGATTCTCAATCTTTTTATAATGAACATTATATTACTTTGTTAATCAGAAAAAAATACCTTAGGGCAATGCAAGCAGGAAACTAAAATTAATATGTACATAGGCAAAGGACTAATGAAGCCTGCCTTCCCAATGTGCTGGGGCCAGGGAGGCAGAAAGGCCCAGGACCAGGAGAAGGATGGAGCACCGCAGAGAGGAGGGGCTCAGAGAACAAAGGGGGCTGGGCTCCACCTGGGGGTGGGAGGTGGAGGGGGAACAGGCATGAGACAAGGAAATAGCCTCGATCTGGGGGTTCTCAGCTGGTTAGAAGCAGTGCCACAAGGCGTGGGATCTCCCTCTATGACAGTCCCCCCCCAAACCAGTCGCAAGGTGACCGATGAACCCCAAGCTCCCCATTCCTGAGGCTGAAACTCACCCACCTTATCACAACCTCTTTCCACCATTCAGGTTTAGCCTTCCTAAATTACCCCTCCCCTGCCAACAATTTTAGGCGGCTGTGCCCCAAATGCCACCTCCTCAGAGTGACCCTTGTGGGCAAGGGGACTGACCAAGAGACAAGATTCCAGGACAGCCTGGCTGGATGGCTCAGTTAGTTGGAGTGTCAACTCATACACCAAAAGGTTGCTGGTTCGATTCCTGGTCAAAGCACATGCCTCGGTTGCAGGTTTGATCCCCAGTTGGGGCACATACAGGAGGCAAACCGTCCATGTTTCTCTCTCACATTAATGTTTCTCTCTCTCTCCTTTCCTCAAAATCAATGAAAACATATCCTCAGGTGAAGATTTAAGAAAAGTCCAGCGAGTTATGGGCAGATGGTTCAGTGGTCACCATGGCAGCTCACCATGGTGACCTCGGACTAACCAGAGCCAGGGGACAAGGGAGGGCCTTAGTCCTGTGGGTCCTAGGAGGCCACCTACTTCTGTGCGCTGCTGCTCCAGCATCTTCACCTTCTTCTCAGCTGCACCCAAGGCTCCCGCCTCTGGGATCTTACTTGCTGTTGCACTAGCCTGGGGAGAAACACAGAGGGGCCTTTAGCGAAGCTTCAAATAACAATACTCTCACGGATCTAAGGCTCCTCACCTAGCCGTTTGTCCCCACCTCTCTACCCTCCCACCCACCAGGACACTGCTACACATCCCAGCCATGACTAAACCCCCTCGGGAAGTCCACAGGGGCTCCTAGGCCCTCCTCCCGTCCTCCTCCCACAGCCACTTCTTTCCCTGCTCAAGCTCTGTCTCTAAGGCACTGCCAACTGCTCTCCCCTCCTCCATCCCCATGTCAACCCAAAATCCTCTGGCCTGGAGGTAAGAGTTATATATTTTTAAATGTTTTATAAAACAATTATTTTAAAATGTTTTTAGAAAGATACAAAAATAAAGATGTATATGTCATTAGTACAGGTACACATACTTCCTAGCTCTGTTCTCTGAGAGAGCCTAAAGCAGTGACACTCCAGTAGCAACGAGCACACCTAAGACCCAGATCTTGGTTCCTAAATACCATTCTCCAACAACCAGGAACAGGACTCCTTGGACAAGGGGTTAATTCTAGGGCTGGGGCAGGGAATGGGTTTGGAGCATCTCATGGTGTCAGAAAGTAAAGAAGTGCCAAAAAAATAATGATAATAATAACAGCCTGTCAAAGGGGCATAGGAGACAACTTGAAAGAGCTTCCCACAGCCAAGCTGGAACAATGTAAACCAGAAAAATAAAATCGTGATAATATTGGGTTATAAACCAAAGAATAAAATAAATATCCTTGAGTCCATAGTGGTAGGAAAATATAGCTGAATAATTAAATAAATGGGGAGAAGGAGCACTCTTCCTTACAGAAGAATTCCAATTAGTGACTGTGGAAAGAATGAGGGAAATGCAAAACTGCCATCATAATACTACAGCTCTCCTAATCACTGCAGTGAGAGTCACCAATGGATACCGAAGCTAGTGAGCGAAAGCAGAAGGAGAAACAGGGCATTTGCATAGCCTCCAAGTTTCTCCTAAAAATAAGTGTTTAATAATTTCAGAGAGAAATTCATCACTTTATATAGAGAAAGCTGACAAACACCCACTTAGCCACATGATCAAGGTTGACAGCAATAAGACACTTGACATAATGCAGTAAGGAGGGTGCGACTCCTGTGATGTTCTTGCCCAAATTCATAACCCCAATCCAAGCACGGGCAAACATCCCATAAACCCAAATTGAGGGACATTCTACAAAAGAAATGGCTAGTATAACCCGAAAGTGTCAATCTTATGAAAGACAAGACAAGGAACCCTGGGATCTGTGACAGATTGGAGGAGACTAAAGAGTCGTGACAACTAAATACAATGTGGGATCTGGAATCACGGTACAGAAGAACATGAGTGAAAAACTGGTGAAATCTGAAGTCTGCAGTTTAGTTAACAGTACTGTGCCCAAGTGTATTTTCTAGTTTTGATCATTGAACCATGGTTTTGTAGGACTTTAAGGCCTGGGGTGAGCCCTGAGAGCAGAACTTGGGAGGCTCAAGTGCCCCCTGCAGGCTAAAGTCTGTAAGCACACCATAGAACCGGGAGTAAAGGGAGCAAGCTGGGGGAGCCCTCCAGGGACCACCACCTCCTCTGAGAAAGATGAGATGGGCCTGACCTTAGAAGCCTGCTGTCTCCTGGAGGGGAGCTGTGCTTAGCATTACTGGGGAAGGAGAAAAAGGGGGTGCCAGGCTCCCAGAGGGTACATTCTTAACCTCCACAAAGAAGAGAGGAGTCAGACTGCTGGCTGCTGGCACCCAATCTGCCATTAAAAGCAACAGCTAATGTTCACTGCTGACCACGTGCCAAGCACTGCACCTACTCTATAGGCACATCACTGAACCCTCCAACTACCCTCTGAGATAGGTGCTAATATCGCCATTATGTAAGGAGGAAACGGAGGCCAGAGAGTATGTAACTTGTCCAAGGTGGCAGCAGCATTCAACCCACATGACTCCAGGGCACTGGCTTCATCGCTGCCCATAAGCCCACAGAGCCTTCCTCTGGGCAGGGTGGAAAGACCATCCGGCCTGCTGGGGAGTCAAGTGAGATGAGGTGATATTAAAGGGCTTTGGAAAAGTGAAGAGGCCTGCCCACAGAATCCCAAGAACCCAGAGATCAGGAGTCCCCAAGTCACTTCCACAAGAGGACAAACAAGGCAGACTCCGACGGGAGGGGCAAATGGAAGCAGAGATGGCCACTTCCCAGTGTGGTTCCCGGCCCGCCTCGGGTCTGCCTCACAGCGAGTGGTGCAGGAAGCTTGGTTAGTGATGCCACATGACCTCTGCAAAGTCATGCTTTCCAGCCTCCAGGCAAGGCTGGGTAATGGAGTAATAATCCTGGCTCTGCCTACCTTACAGGGGAAAAGAGATCCAAACAGGACGATGGATTGGATTTTTGAGTCTTGGGTAAACTCAATAGTAAGAAGTAATTAAGTTTTACTAGGACAATTACATAGGTGTGGGGCTTATTAAATACAATTGAGTCCTGCTGTGCAGCCATTAAACTCCATTAAAGGGGAAAACGTGTTAGTAAGAAACTGGGACTCAGCCCTGCAGCCAGGCGAAAGGCCCTGACAGGGCAAGGAGCCAGCTCCTGCCTGGGGACTGGATGTGAGCCAGGGATACAGCAGCGGTGGTGGGTAGGGGGCAAGTGGGCTGGCCTGGTGGCATTACCAGGCCATGTCCCCCTCTCTCCATGTCAGAGGCTCCCGGGGGCAATCACAGGAGCTTAGCAGAGTCCCCTGAGAAGCCAGGAATGTCTGAGATGTTATGCTGACGCTCGGGAGTCACCCTGTAAAGAGTGGGATGTGCTCAGGGAATGTGCTCACACTGAGCCAAGGACTCGACCACCGTCTTTGAGCAATGGAACTGGAGCTATTCAGCCTGGAGAAGAGGGCTGGTGGGGGCCACAGAGCCATGGTCCTGGCTGGCAGCCTGCGTGTGTGTTGCAAGGAATGGATGTTCCATGTGGCTGAAGGCAGAATAAGCACTGAGCGGTGGAAGCTCCAGTGAGGTGGACTGTCAGGCCAAGCTAAGGAAAAGCCATCTAACAACCAGAACCTTCGAACAGCGGAACTGGCTGAGCAGGAGGCAGTGAGCTCACTGCCACTGGAGGTGGCAATGGAGGCTGGCAACAGCAGGTGGGATGCTGTGGAAGGAGTTTCTGATCACATACCTGCAGCTGTCCAGCTACCCCCTTCTTGCCTGCGCCTTCCATCTTGGGTGAGCCTGGCCGCCTGCAGACACCCTCTTTGCCGCTGGTCATCAACAACTTCTTGAGCTCCATGTTTTCCTCCCTGGGTCGGAGGCAAACACAGAAATCACGTTGCTGGCTCTGGGTTAAGGACCTACTATTCATCTGAGTTGCAGCTGAGACCTGGGGTGTAAGGCAAGACCCTGAAAGCTTTCCTCTGGTGCAACCAAAAGGCATCCTTAACCTCCTTGTGGCAATCTGTGGGCTTCCCTAGGAGTCGCCAATCATCACCGCAGGGTTCCCCAACTGGGATGCCTGCAGACATGGGATCCTCAGGACACAGCCAAACCTGCATTAAATAACCCTGGATCACACTCTAGTGATCCTTCCCAATTATCTTCCAACTCCCGGTGTGGAGCAGGGGAAAAGTCTCAGCGTGATGTCTTGAGCATCTTTCTTGTACTCGCCAGTCTTCCTTGTTAAAAGGGAGATAGCTGCCCAGTCGGTGTGGCTCGGTGGTTGAGCCTCGACCTATGAACCAGGAGGTCACGGTTTGATTCCTTGTCAGGGCACATGCCTGAGTTGTGAGCTCAATCCCCAGTAGGGGGAGTGCAGGAGGCAGCCAATTGATGATTCTCTCTCATCATTGATGTTTTTTTTTATCTCTCTCTCTCTGAAATCAATAAAAATGATTTATTGAGAGAGAGAGAGAGAGAGAGAGAGAGAGAAGGAGAGAGAGCGCGCAGGCTTCAGGCTCAGGGCCTTCAGTGGGCAATGGTACTTTGCCAGAATCAAGAACATCCTCTGATTTTCACTACATTTATCATTGGAATTACCTTTTACTTAGTAGAGGTAATGCTGTCTTCCATTTACTTTAGTGAAAGCTTTCTTTATAGTATTTTTTTAAGTCAAACATGATTCAAATTAAAGTAAAATTCTTAAGTAAATAACAAGATAGGTGATACAGGACATAATAAAAGTGTGACTGGAATATGGAAAATATTTATGTTCTGTTTGCCAGCTGGGTTTCCACGTAATAGAAAAACAGAGAAGTGGCTTTCCCAAGGTCACACAGCTTTGTACACCTGCTCTCTAGTCAGGAATCTTTCCTCCAGCCTGGGTTTTTGGATCCATGGATGGAGTCTTAGAGCTATAAAACTCCAACTACTTGGAAGTAAATAAATATATGCAGATTCAAAGTGGCACGGTGGCTCAGTCGTTACTACTGCTCTATCCGGACCTCACATGCCTCTCTGGGCCTCAGTCTCCCTCTGCACAATGAGGTAAAGGGTTAGCTGCCGAGATCTCACAGGCCCTTCGAGTTCTGACAGTCAAGGTCGGTGTTTCTCAAGTGTGATCCTGGACCAGCCGACATCATAATCCCAGCGGCCCTTCGGAACATGCAGATGCCTAGGTCTTGCCTCAGACCCACGGTCTCAGAATCTTGGTAGAGGAGGGAGGTGTGGGAGTGTAAAGTGGGGGCCTTGCCTGATCCTCAGTAATCCTGGTGCATAATTAAGTCCATGATCCACTAGCCCTGATGAGGGAGCCCTGGCTGTTCTCAGGAATACAGAGCAGAACAGAATGATGACCGGCAGGGGGCAGCACAGTCCTGAGCTCTCCTACAACCAGCCAGCAGCTGTTCACGGTTCACAGGCTAAGCTTAGGCGTAGGCTCCCAAGGAAGAAGTGCAATTTGTACAGACCTTCTTCTGAAGTTCTCAAGGCACTTTATAAATAGACACCCCCCAAGGTACCCAAGAAGAAGAACCAAAGACATCCAAAGCAGGGCTCTGGGCAGAGGCCTCAGAGCTCCATAGGCCTCTGAGCCCTCAGCCCAGAAATCACTGCCATGCACCCGCCCCCTCCTCGGCCATCCCCGCTCTGAGGAGCCTGGACTTACCGCAGCCTCTCGGCAGCCTGATCCCGCTGTTCCAGGCCCTTGTCCAGTTTGGACTTCAGGGTCTCATTCTCCTTCCGAAGCTGCTCACACAGGGTCTGAAGGGCAGAGGGGTAGATGAGGACAAGGGAAGGGGAGGGGTGCATCCCTAACCCACACTGATGTTGGAGGACAGGACAGGGGCTACCAAGTCCTACACATTAGCCCCTTGGCATGGCCTGACCCAACCCCTCCCAGGACGGCTGAGAGCCAAGACGCTGGGCCCACCCAAGCTCCTTTAAGCATCCTCATAAAGCCAGCCATGAGGATGCCCACACAAGAGTCAGCCAAAGGGCCTTTTCTTTCTCCAAGGCAGAGAGCTCCATCTCCCCTCCTTCACTGCCGTTCCCTCATCCTAGAACACTCTTCCCCACAGGCCTTCCCGATTTCTCCTCCTGCTTCAAGTTAGCCTAAACACCACCTCCTTGGAGAAGCCCTCCCTGATTTCTACATCCCAGTGAGTTGGGTCACCTCCATTATCCTTGCTCACAGCCCCCTGTTCTCGGTACTTGTGGCAATGAGAGCTGAAGAGCCATTTTTGTCCTCATTTTCTTTTTAATATATTTTATTGATTTTTTACAGAGAGGAAGGGAGAGAGATAGAGAGTCAGAAACATCGATGAGAGAGAAACATCGATCAGCCACCTCCTGCACATCCCCCACCGGGAATGTGCCCGCAACCCAGGTACATGCCCTTGACCGGAATCGAACCTGGGACCCTTCAGTCCGCAGGCCGACGCTCCATCCACTGAGCCAAACCGGTTTCGGCCTCATTTTCTTAATATCCAACTCCAACCCACCCTCTCTAGTCTGTGAGCAACCTGAGGCCTGGGACCCCTCCCCATTCTCTTGTCCACTGCCAGATCCCAGCCCAGCTCAGGGTCTACACAGGCTGACACTTAACTCTGTTGAAGGAACGTACGACTGAATGACTGAATGGCCAAACGAATGAACAACCAGTAAAGATCTGAGACCTAGAGCCCTACAAGCTTAGTCGATTTGGGAAGTGGACGAGGCTTCCACGGTGGTCAAATGGCATGTCAGAAGACAGGGTATCCGGTCAACTCCTCAGGTGTGGCCCAGGCTTCCTTAGCCTCTGAGCCACAGTTCCCTCCCCTACAAAATGTGGGCAACTGCGCCTTCTCTGCCTCCTTCGTAGGGTCCCTCAGAGGACAAACAAGACCGAGAGAGGGCAAGCACCTTTGCACTGTCAGTCCCCTGATAATACCTGACGACCTGTGTTCCAAGAGCTTTGAGGTGAGGGCATTACAGACGGGGAAGGGAGGGCGGTGCAGAATAGCAATGGTGCTGTGCCGTGTCGTAGTAAGTACTCAATCTTTAACAAATACTGAGTGAGCACCTAACCGCGCCAGGCACGTGGCTGGGTGCTCTTCCACTCACTGCATCATAGGAGCCTCACAGTGTCCTCAAAGCAACATAATTCATGTCTATTTTTAAAGTAGGCTAAGGCAGGTGAATTAATTTGCATGAGGTTGAACAGCTGTTAAGAACCACCAGGGGGGTTAAACTCCATCTGGCAGGCCCTAATCTGGTCTCTCCCCAAACTTCCCCTCTCCCCCCTCGCTGTGGTCATGTGACTATTTCTGGCCAAGGAAAGGTGAGTGGAAGTGATAAGGGTCTGTCCTGGGCTGGCCCATGCACATTCTCTGGTCTCTCTTCCTGTGGCTGTGGCTGTGGCTGTGGTTGCCTCATAATCCAAAGGGCACAAGATGAAGGGGCCGATAAGTAACTGTGGAGCAGAAATGAGGAGTCCCTGCCACAGGGATTGAGGGAAAACTTTTGTTATCCTGAGGGATTTCAGAGTTGTTTGTTTCCCAGGAGAGACTTGGGAAGGCATCAAAGCCTGAACTGGGGATGGTCGGACATGAGAGGCAGAAAACAGAAAACTACTGTAATTAGTTCCAATGCCTAACAGAAGCCTTGCGTCATAGCTGGCCTTGAAAATGTTGTCGAGTAAACCAAGAAACAAATCCACAAATGAATGAAGAGGAACCGGATTAATTTGCCTCTACCCACAGGCGGGGCAAATACCCAGGATGCCACAGCCCTGGGTGGGGCCTCCAGGGAACAGAACGTCCTGCTCCTGGACACTAAGGGAAGGCCAGGGTGTGCTGTCCACCTTTCTAGGCTAGAGGGCTGTTCCCTCCAAGCTTCTGGGAAAATGCCCTGCGCACAAAGCAGCTGACGGAGGTGAGTTGTCACAAAGGTCACAGTCCATTGAAGGGGCTAACAGAGCTCACCTGTGAGTTCCTTAGTCCACTCACTCACTCATTCATTCATTTGCTCACCAAATGTGCATTAAGCACCTATTTAGTGCCAGGCACTGGGATACAGTGATGAATATGACAGACAGTCCCTGCCCCTCCTGTGAGGCTTATATTCCAGCAGGAAGTACAAGGAAAAAAGCCACAAAGCAAACAAACCACCTAATGCAATAAAACTATTACAAACTATGTTAAGAGCTAAGAAGGAAATAAACAAGGGCCTGGTATAAAAAACAACAGAGGTAGACAGGACCCCCTTTGATGAGGCCAAAATGTTGACACTGAAAATTCTGTCACCCGTGCGATGCACCGGCTTCGCCTCCCCGGAACTCAGCTTTGACACCTCTAAGCCTTGCTGACATCTGAGAATCTCCCTCAGTCTGGCTCTCGGGCTCCAATCACTCCTCCAGCCTTGCCTCCCTTGTCCCTCACCTGAGGGGGGTTGGGGGTTCTGCACTCTCCTTGGGGTCCTCTGCTCCCCACATCTCTCCTCACACTGTCTCCAGCCTGGATGCCCTTCTGCTCTTGTCAACCTAGGCCCTTCTTGAGGTTACACCTGGTAGACTTCTCGCCCATTAACTGGGCACGTGAGTGTTTGCTGCCACAAATGAGACCACTGACCGGTGACTGGAGTAGGAGGGCCCGGGAGGGAGGCAGGGGACTTCAAGTTACAGCCTTGTCACTGAGGGGACAGGTGCTCAGGTCCTGAGCAGGTTCCCTAGGAGCCTCAGTTTTGCCATCTGTGAATCCTGCCCTACCCCCAAGCCCTCAAGGCTAAGACCCCCGGCCCAATATGGCAGTCTGGCCATCATCAACTCCTAACAGTGACCACTTTTTGAGCACTTAAATGTTCTAGACTGGACTTCATTTATTACTCCCAGCAATCCCATGAGGCAGGCACTCCCAGCACCATGCTACTGAGAGGGACAGTGCGGGACAGAGAGGATAAGTGACTTGTCCAAGGTCATTCAGCAATAGAGTCCCTACTGAAACCAAGGACCATATGGCTTCAAGGCCTGGGCTGGCCTAGAACTCAATCTGGCTTCATTACCACGGCACGGGGAGGGTTATGAAAGGAAGCCTCCTCTGCTGGGAGATAAGCTGGGATGGTGGTGGAGAGCATGGGCTTTGGAATATGACAGGTTGAGGTTCAAATCCCAAGTGCACCATCTACCAGCTGGGCAACCTGTGAAGTGGGGATAATGATGGTCCTCTTGCCTTGGTACCCTCCCTTTCCCCACCTGTCGGTGAAGAACAAGGCAGGGCTGTTCCCAGCCTGCCCACATCCACGGCCCCCAACCATGAAATCTGCATTGCCCATCCCATATTTCCCAACTTCCTTCCTCTTCCTCACCCCTTCCCACAACTTCCTTACCCTGCTCACCACCCCAAACAAGAAGCCCAAAGTCAGCCCCCAATGGCAACGTCATTCTCAGAAGTCCCCCGAGTACCCTGATTCCCAAGAAGAGCCAGAGGAGGAGGGAGGGGAAGCACACTGCCCACCCAGGTGACCCTCTCCCGGCCAGCCTCACCTGCAGGATGGAGGTGCGCTGCTCATTCTTGTGCACCTTGGAGGCTAGCCGGTTAAACTCGAGGGCCATGCGGCCCAGGTGGGTGAAGAGCTGGCTGTGGTCCGGCTCCTCGGCGCACACGCTCAGGGTGGTCTCCAGGCGCTGCAGGTGGAGCATCAGGTTGCTGTCCTCGTGGGGCAGGGGACCCAGCTCCTGGCGAGGAGGGGAACAGGGCCGTTCTTTACCAGGGTCTGAGTAGGCGCTGCCAGCCATTCTCCTTCTGCTTCCCCATTCCTCATGACTCAGTTTCCCCCTCTGATCCCAGCTCAGCCCAGGGAAATTCTCCAGTTACGCAGGTTCCCTGTCTGGGGCTGACTCACAGGGCAGGACCGGGACTCCCAGGCCAGCAGTTGGCTTACCAGCAGCAGAGCCACTTTCCTCCCACACTCTGGGCCTCCCCGAGTGCCTGGGGGTGGATCGCTCATCTGCTGGGCTTCGGAATCCTCATCTACCAAATGTGCACACACCCGTGAAGGCAGCAAGCCCAGGAAAGGGGTCTCACTCCATGCACAGTACTGCTCCTTTGGCTTAGGGAGTCTTGCTAAGGGAGCTACACAGAGCAGAGCTGCCTGACTTTCATGTCTATTGTGTGTCTTCTGGGGAATAGCTGCAGCATTCATCAGCTTCTCAGAGGAACCAAGACTCAAGACAGGTTAAGAACCATAATCTAGATATTTCACAGAACCCAATCCAGTAGCATACATAAGAAAGGAAGCGTACCGTGGGCAAGGGAGTCCAATGTCAACAATCAATCAATCTTTCTCTCTCCATCTCTCCTGTGTCTAGAACATTCCTTCCAAAGACAGTGCCTTAGTTATGCCAACACTGTGCCTGAGGATCCAGAGTGGCCCCTTGCAGCTAACTGCTACCCTGCCAGGCATCTGAGACCCCACCGTCCCCACACACCTCCTATGGCTCCATTCCCAGTGTCCCCTCTGCTCATCCTTCCTGGCCTTGCCGACGTTTCCACTCTTCTAGCAGGCCTCCCCTAAACATGGATGTTGCAGGACGGTAGAGCTATGGGGAGCCTCCGGGTTCAGGCTGGGAAACTAAGCTACAGGGAACAGGAACTTGCCCAGAGCCGCCCAGTGGCTCAGTGGCAGTGCCAGGACTGGAACCGAGGCTTCCTGATGCTCAGTAAGTGCCTATGCAATACTGTTAGCACTTTATTCTAACAGGAGATAACGCGGCTTCTTGGACTCTGCATTCATCCCCCACTGCCTCTCTTCATAAAGGATTTGAGGTGGCAAAAGCTGCTCTATTTAAGGTCCATGAATTGCTTCATCCACTCATCTCCCCAACTAGCCTACAAGCTCCCAGAGGGCAGGGAGGCTGTCTTGTCTTGACTCAGCACAGACTAGGCACATGGTGGGGCTAAGGAGGAACTTATTAATGAGATAATGTTACTGGTCCAAGGTCATAGGGCAAATAGTTTCTGAGCAGGGGGTTCTTGCCGCCTCCACCAGCTTCTCAGAGCCCTCAGAGACAGAGCAGGGTAAAGGCACAGAAGTTCCCAGGAGACAAAACTCAGAACCTTTCTAACACTCAGCCTGCACAAAAGGGTAAACTGCTTGGCTAAGCTGCTCTGGGTCTCCCTGACCCTTTCTGTTCCACCTTCTAGGAGCCCACTGGCCCAGAGGCTGAGTCATAGTGTGTGGAGGTGCCCGGCATTCATGGAGACCAGCAGGGCTTTCACAATGATCGGGCGCCTGTGTGACCCAAGAAGGGAAGTCACCAGCAAGGGATTTGCATGTTCGAGAAGCATCCCCTCCTCCGGCCCCCCATAGGTCCCCAATTGACTCCAGGGTGCCCTAGGGACCCTGTGCCTCTGACCCGGGGCCAGGTGACTGAAACAGAGAGGAGACATGGGATGTGCCCGGGACCTGCCATCCACTCACCATCATGTTTCTGGTTTGGCCGCCGCTCTCTGGTGGAGAATTCTGCTCGTTGGGAACCACTTCAAATTCAGAGGATGTGCCCTGTGCAGAGGGGGAGTTAGTTACAGGCTGCCTGAGAGAAAAAACACTCAACCCACAGCTGACAGCAGCAGGGAGGGGCAGGGAACGGAAGGACAAAAATCTCTTCTCTCATCCAGTTCATCCCGGCAGCCCCTCCGTGCAGAGCTGCGCTCCCCGGGCGGTTACACATCAGTTCATGTGCGACCATGAAGCAGGATCCCAAGTCTGCCCACAACCCACTCACTGTGAGGTCTGAGCTTACAGGCCCTCTGTGACCAGTTTCCTCATCCGTAGAACAGGGATATTGGGCTAGCTGACCTTGAACCACCAGAACTTCAGGATCTTTTCTTTTTTAAACTTGTACTTTTAAAATCTCTCCCACCAGAGACTTAAAATGTTTTCATGAACTCCATTATGGTGAGTTATATCCCCTTTGGTCAGATAAGGAAACTGAAGGTACTTTCTTAGCTAATGCAAAAAGTAGGGGGTGAACCCAAGGCCTGCAAAACCAATGTTCCTATTACGACCTCGGAGCTGTCTCCCAGGTCCAGGTGTCCCCTGACTGTTCGGATGGAGAACAGACAGCAGTCAGTGCGGCCACACAGAGGTGGTTCTGTGCCAGCCTTACCAAACCAGCTCCAGAAAACCCGATTCTCTCTCTCTTCCTCCCTCCCTTCCACTCTCTCTCTCTAAAAAAAAAAAAAAAAAAATCAATGGGAAAAATATCCTCAGGTGAGAATTAACAACAAAGATTTGTGAAATCTGAGTCTGAACTTTGGTGCTTTATGAATGGGGTCAGGAATCTGTTACATAATGTGAAAATTAAAATTTCAAAGACATTTCTATTAAAAAAAAAAAAAAAAAAGACTCCCAGCCTTTTTCTCATCTCTCAGCCACTCCAAGTGGAATGTACTGGTTGTGCAACCAACAGATAGGCCAATGGTCCCTCTGAACTAGTAACTGGCTCTGGGATTGCTATTAACCTGGTCTACAAAGTCGACTGCAGCCCTCCCTCGGAAAGGGCAGATGGATGGGAATGGACGGGAGGATCTCCACTCGCAGCTTCTGGATCTCTGCTCTGAGCCTCATGGCCACCAGGAAGCCAGCTCTGAATCTTGGCCGTGTCCTATAAAACCTCACATTCACCTCTACGTTTCCCCCACTGTCTGCGAGACCGTGGAAAATGCTCTTCTCACTTTGGACCTGATCTGTAGGATAAAGATGCTACAGGATACGATCCCTTGTCTCTTCCAGTCCTAGGACACCAAGCAAAACGTCTCGAGGCGATTCCTCAGCCCCTCTGAGAATGAGTTCTATGTCACATCCACCCGCTTCCTAGCACCGTGCAGTAGGTAGATACATGCTTCACATTCTGCGACTTAGCATAAGGGAGGAACTCCTTGTGCATAGCAGGGTCTTCCTGGCAAGTTTTAATTGAGACCTTCATTTAAAGATGGGGAAGCCGAGACCCCAGAGAGATTGAGATCGGCCTGCCCAACATCACCCAGCAAGTCAGAACCTAGGCTTCCAGACGCCAACTCTCTCTTCATGTCCTTGTATCTGCCAAAGGGACCTCGAAGTCCAGGCAGCTTTCAGCCAGGACTCCAAATGCAACTTACACTGGATGGAGGTTTTTGGACTGGCTCTGGCTTGTCACTGGGGGGTGCAGGGTCAGCAGGGGGTGCTGGGACATTTGCATCCTTTCCTGGAGAATGGAGAAAACACAGATGAGCAGTAGGGAAAGAGGAAAGCCGAGACACTGCCCCTTCCAGGACAGTCCTGGCCAGTCTCCGAGTTCCCTCCATGAGTCTGGGAAAATGGGAGGTGGTCCCACCAGGCCCAGGGACCGGCCCTGGAATGGCGGGGACAGAACTTGGGCAGAGAGACCAACTTCCCTGGACTTGCTGGCCACTGCTTTCTGCTGCCCCAGACCTGCCTCAATAATGACAGGATGACGATTAACAAGTAACAAAGCGTTTTTATATGTATTATCTCAGACAATTCTCATGGCGGCTCCAAATTCCCATTTTAAAGGTAAGGAAACTAAGGCTTGGAAAAGTCACAGAGCCAGTGACTGAAAAACCAGGACTCACACTTGGCTCCCCACCCCCCGACCTTCTGGGGCTCCTGCCATAGGGAGTCCCTTGAGGATAGCTGCACATCTCACCCTGGGGATGGGCCCGGACCAATCTGGGACTCAGCAAACATTGCTGAAGGGACAAGTGGAGACTGGAAACACCCACTGATGGGCACAGTGGACTCTGAGGTCATCACTTTCCTCCATGTGTCCATTCAGCCCATGTAACCGCCAGCCAAAAGGAAGGCTGGCACGCTGGCCTGGGCTGGTGCTGTGGGTGGGGCTGCAGCAGGAGGCCTCTGAGCCCCACAGGTGGAGACCTTTCCCCCCGGGCCCCAGACGTTGCCCTGGACCCAGAGACATGCCAGAGGAACGCATGGTGACCACATGCAAGACTTTAACCTTTAGTCGCAGTCAGCACGTTCCAGCAATAGGTAACATAAGTAACCTTACATCTGAAATACACTGCAGCAGGCTGATAGGCAAGGCCAGGTTCTTCCATGGGCCTCAGCTTCCCCAGCTTTAAAATGGAAGGAGAGGGGCCAGACCAGAGAGCTACTGACTCATGTGCCAACTCTGAGTGACCTGAAGTAGATGCCTGGCGTGCTCAGCCTGGTACATAGCAGCTGCTCATTAAATATTTGCTGCATAAATATGCTGATCTTTATCTGATAAAGATCTTGAGGCCATATCTCGGGTACAGTGGATTGCTGTGATCCATAACTGATGTCTGCGAGGGCCTCGGGAGTGCAGAGTCCCATCCAAAACATGACTGGAAGGATGGCCTGTGGCCCAAGGGTAAGTGGAGGAGATGTGGACTTCTAAACAGGAAGGGGTCCACTGTTGAGGGTTTTGGGAGCTGGGAGTTACAAGGAAAGGCAGAGGACAAGCTGGTGCCCTTGGACCTGTGAGCTCAGGCAGGTGGTCGAAGGAAGTCAAAGTGGGAGACGGTGGTGGGAGCAGCTGCCTGTCCTTGCCCAGCTCACTGTCCTGGACCAGCGCTTCTGCCTTCTGCCGCAGCCTGGATGCTTCCATCTGGGACTCTTCCAAAAGCTCCCCTGGAAAGAACGGGGAAAGGAGGAGCAAAAGGAATTACTCAGCACTGTACGCGGGTTCTCCACCCTGTGCCCCTAAACCTGCTTCGGCCTGGCTTTGGATGCTCCAGGCCCTGGACTTTACTGCCACCATTGCCTTATGGGTTGAGTGGGACGAACATCATTCTAGCCCACAATCAGAGACAGGCCCTAAGGAAGAGGGCCCTGCAATCAGGGAAGGGGTGGAGGGGAATCTAGGACAAACTCCTGGCCCCTGGTTCCCTCTTCCTGCTCCATCCCGCCACAGCTGGCTGGGACTCCACAGAAAGCCAGGGCTCTCTTAAACCTACCATCATGGCACCCAGGGGCCACCCACAGCCTGCACCGACAGTCAGGGGCAGTCTTAAGGGACGAGCCCCTTGATAATGCCAATCACCCTCTGGGCCTCAGTCATCCTTCTCCCACAGGTGGAGAAGAGGCAATTCTACTCCTCGTTCCCCAATCTGCCATTTTAAGCAGCGGTCTGTGAAGCAAGGAGAAAGCATTTGGAAAATTGGGGAACTGAGCTCGCCCCCAAAACCTAAGACCAGAGAAGGTGGCAGCAAGGCAAAGGAGTAGTTGTAGGAGTGTGGAGGACAGAGGGACCCCTCTGCGGGGAAATCACGGAATGTCGTGGAGGAGGAGGTGGCATCTGAGCTGGGTGCTGATGGATGGGGATGACAGTCATGCAAGGCAAGTGGAGCTCCTTGGCAGTGGGGACAGCTTGAGCAAAAGCCAGGAAAAGAGAAATCAAGGGACCTACTCCCATCTGCTTCAAGCCAAGCTTGGCTCCCTGCTCCAACACCTGGGGACCGAGCCCTGGTTGCCCAGATGATGCCAGCTCCCCCTTCGCTGGTGTTCTGGAAAATAAGGCCACTCTGTTTCCACATTCACAAAATGGGCCTTCTAGCTCGCTCTCCCTAACCCCACACCTCTTTCTCAGCCCCTCAGGGTATTCTGAGTCCTGTCACCATGGCTCTTGGGTGCTGGGGACTCAGGGCTATGGAAGTGCATAAAGACACAGCTGTGGGGCAGGAGCCAGCGCAGGGCCGGGAAGGGCAGAGGGATGACATGGGTGGAGGCATATGCCAGCTGGCACTGCAGGCTACAGGGAGATGGCTCGCAGGGAGAGTGCAGCGTCTGCTTTACCTAACATCTTTATCCCTTGCATTTTTTCCTTTAGTCTGGAATTCTCCTCCACTAGGCGCTCAAAAGCTGTGGACGCCTCTCCCGGAGGGACGCTGCCCCCAGGGTCGTAGATCCGGTACGGTCCTCTCCCTTCCATGAGGGTGGCTCAGCCCCTGCCGGGGTGCCCGCCTGGCTGTAAGGACAACAGCAGGAAATCAGGGGGCTGGCCAGGCCATTGAGGTGCCCCAGAGGCAGTCCCCATAACCCAGAAGAGAACATAGCACTTCGACTGGTCTGGCCACAGCATAACAGAGCAAGACAGTCACCTCCTTTGATCTGGATGCTCTGCCTCTATTAATGCAACCTAAGAATGGCATCAGTCTCTTTCAGCGGCCTCACTGCACTCACTGCTGGTTCCTTTGCAACAGCAATCAACTATGAAGTACGATGTGGATGGAGTATAAGAAAGCACTAGACTTGGAGTAAAAATACTTGAGTTCATGTCCTATTGGTGGGGTCCAGAAGGCCAGGGTCCCTGCATCACAGCATCCCCAGAACCCAGCACAGTATCCTATATAATAAAAGGCTAATATGTAAATAGACCGAACGGCGGAACAACTGGTCACTATGACATGCGCTGACCACCAGGGGATGTGTGCGTGGAACTTGGTGGGCGTCAGCAGCAGATGGCAGAGTGTGGAACATGGTGGGTCTGGGCTGTGTGGGATGGTGGAGCAGGTGAGTGGGGACACCAGACCAAGGTGGGGTGCAGGTTGCTGTCATTGGGGTGAGCCTCTGGTAGTTACTGAAAATTCTTTGCTCCTGTGTGCCGCGGTCCCACCCAGCGCCTGCTGCTGGCACCAGAGCCTGGCGCCAGCCTCAATCGCCCCTCAGGGCTTCTCCACCTCACCCTGCTCCTAAGGGGCAATCAGGGCAGCAGCCACTGCTCGCACCCGCTGCTGGCACCAGCCCCAATCACTCCATGCTGTCAGCGGGTGCAAGTGGGGCCAGTGCCATCAGCCCATGGGAGCAGTGGCGGCGAGAGCAGGGCTACTGGCAGACAGGGGACTGGGGGCCACGGCGGGAGGGGACAGGCTGGGGCTCGGAGGATGGGCCGAGACCTGCCCCTGTGCTCACTGCAGCCTTGCAGCCTACAGTTCCTTTCAAGGTGCACAAACTCGTGCACTGGGCTCCTAGTTAGCTATAAAAGAGTGCCCAATAAACACTAAGTAAATAAGTGGTCTAACCATTAACTCACTATGAAATCATGGGCAGTCCCTTCCCCTCCCTGCAGAGGGGAAATGAAAGTTGTTCACTAAATTAGGACTTTATAGTGAAATGCTTACGCCCTAACAGATAAGCCAGTCAATGCAATCCCAAGTTCCATTTATATGTATGTCATCTTTTTTAAAAAGAAAGAAGAAAAAAACCCTGACTAATATTTAATATACTAGTTGACACTATCACTCTCCTCCTTTACTCTCATATCATGCATGGTCTGTCCCTTCCATTTCTACCGAACAGATGAATTTTCCACCAAACCACTAACTACTTGCTCAAGTGTTTCACATTAATCTGTTCAATTTCATCTGCTTTCTTTCATTTGATTTTAGAATCCTAGTTCTGTGACTTAGTAGAGAAACTTAGTTCTTGCATTTGTTCATTCATTCAGCAATTATTTAATGAGCACCTACTCCTTGCCAGGTACTATTTTGGGAAATTATCAGCTAACAAAACAGACAAAAATCCCTTATGCAGCTTACATTCTAGTGGCGGATGTGATTGATTGATAGATAGATAGATAGATAGATAGATAGATAGATAGATAATGGACAGACAGATACACAGACTGACAGACACAGTATTAGGAGTGATGAAAATATCTATGGACAAAATTTAAACAGGAAGCACGAGGCAGGGACTTTAATTGCACATGGAACTGTCAGGAAAAGCCTCACAGAGAAGGGGTTATTTTAGCAAACATCTGAAGGAGGAGAGGGAACTAGCTATGCAGACAGATATCTGGGGGAAGAATACTCCAGGCAGACAGAACGGTGAGTGCAAAGGCTCTGAGGCTGAAAAACGGATCCAGCCTCCAGACCTACAAAGAGCTTCCCAACACAAAGGAGTTCCAAAGGCCTCCACTGGGACCTCAGAAGGACTTGGGGCCCTGAAACCTCCCTCCCAAGATCACTATCCCCACAGTGATCCCCGAAAGAAGAGTGAAAAGGGACTAATGATAACAGCCACCATCCATGAATCATCTACATGCCAGGCATTCAACACCTCAGGTGCACTATCTCAGGTAAGCTGCAAATGACCCTAAGATACATACTAAATTGTCCTCATGTTATAAGGGAGGCCTCATGTTATAAGTGAGCCAGGATTACATGGCCAGCAGGTGACAGGGGAGATGAAAAGCCAGTTCTGCCTAAGAAAGCCCAGTTGCCCCCTGCTACACTTGAGCAGCTCCCCAAAGGCTCTGGCCAGAGGAGTTCAAGCCAGACTGTAGGGTAACATGGGGCTCTTAGGTACCCTCTGGGCAGTGTCCCCTGCCTTGAAGCATAAGAAATAACAAGGATTTTGGCCAGAGGGTCCACATTGCCATAGTTCAGAATGAAAAATAAAGTTCTGGTGAGCAGAACCCCTCCCCGAAAGCCTGACAAACAGAGAAGACGAATACACCCACGCCCTTCTCAAGGCACCCACGCCCTGCTGGGCCCCATGGAGGCAAAGGACA